ACCACCAAACTTGCAATTCAAACAACTTTGCAGTCCAGCACCACACAAGACTGAATAGTGTCCCCCAAAACTATGTATGTGTTGTAAATTCTAACCTCTGTCCTCCTGGTGTACAGCACTGAAGAATAATGATGAATCTGTGAAACACCTCATAGCATGAATAAACCTGGAGGACAATATGCTAAGTGAAATTAGTCAATCACAAAAGGGCAAACATTGTGTGAGACCAATGTTGTTAAATGTTAAGAAGTTTTTCTTGCTAAAAGAAACATTCTATGATGGTACCAAGGATGGGAGGAAAACAAAAATTATTTACTGAGTGAAGAGTAGACGCATGTTAATTTGGGTGATGAGGGCACTATACAACAAGAGGGAGATTTGTACAGGAAAGATGAAGGTAGTAGAAGACACTGGGAGGAATGCAAGAGTTAAAGTGAATAGAGGTAAATACTATTTAACTGATGGTACATGGAAGGGATTACAATCATTGTAATGACATGAAGTGTATGATTTGCTGAATGTGGGAATGATGATCTATTCTGTAAACCTTCACTCATCTCACAATAAGGAATTTAAAGAGTGAGAGAGATGAAGAGGTGAGGAGCACAGTGGTTCTAGAGGAAAACCACTGGACTGTAAATCATAAGCTTGGCAGTTTGACTCTACCAGCTGTTCTGCAAGAGATACATGAGGCTTTCTGCTTCCACAAAGATTTACAGCCTTGGAAGCCTTATACAGGGTCAGAACCGACTCAATAGCACTTAACAAAAATAACGAAGAGATGAGGAAGAGACACGTCAGGCCACATGATGATCACCCAGGGGCAAAAGCTCAGAAGACACAAGAAACTTCCTCCAGAGCTGACAGAGCGAGAACGCCTTGCCTAGAGCCAGCACCTGAATTCAGACTGCTTTCCGCCTGAAGTATGAGAGAATACATTTGTTTGTGAAAGCCATTGGCTTGTAGTATTTCTGATACAGTAGCACTAGGGAACTAAGAAGAAGCTCTGGTAGCATAGTGGTTATGAGTCGGGCTGCTAACCTCAAGGTCAGCAGTTCAGAAGTACCAGCTGTTTCTCAGGAAAAAGATGAGGTTTTTGCTCCCATAAAGATTTACAGCCTCAGAAACCCAATCCACTATTAATTGGAACCAACTCCATAGCATACAACCACCAACAACAA